ACTTTTTTTCTCCTCGCAATCTTATGTTGATGATACTAATATTGACCCACCTGCTTTTAACCTGTCCCATATACATATGCTTTCTGATATTGTGATATCTCGCCAACACGTTCTTGATGCTATACATTCCCTCGACACCAATAAAGCCTCTGGTCCCGACCTTGTAAATCCTCGTTTGATCAAGGAAGCTGTCGATATTCTAAGCTATCCTCTACTAAAACAATTTAACCTTTCGCTCACTGTATGTAAATTTCCATCATCTTGGAAAATTACTAATGTTATGCCAGTATACAAAAAAGATGATCCATCTATATTCAATAATTATCGACCTATATCACTTGATTGTGTTCAAAACTTTATCATACAGACAAAACGTTTCTGAAGAAACTTGCATTTATTGCTCTCTTGTATCAGTGACTAACTGTTTTTCTTTCTTCTTGTTTTCCTTTTTTCACTATATACAGTAAATATTTATATGAACAAATGTACAGTTCCAATACTTAAATCAAATATAGTATGTATCTTGAACTCGGATTGTAAACAACCTGCGGTTGTTCCTTGTTCCTTTTTACAGTTTTGATGCCCAATGCGATGCCACTTAGTAATCATCATCCCAACCCCTGCACCCTTTCTCTATATTCAATATAGTCAATATTGGTCCATATCTTATATCTACATTAGGAGACGGATTAATATAAGTACTATGTACTTGTTTCTGTATCCTGTAATTAGTATCATTTATATGTACAACTGCTATTACCTCAATAAAATAAAGTTTAAACCAAATAAGAGGCTCTTAGTAACCTCATCATTAATTTCAAGACTATATTTCAGAAAATCCCTCACATTTTTTAGGGTGGTCCGTGGCTCCTCCCTCACCTCCCCCTCAATACCCCGAAACACCAGGTTCCCCTTGCGCCCCCACAACTCTTTCATTTGTTTCTGCAGAAATATCACTTTTTATGGTGGAGATTTCCTCATTCACATGCTCTAAAGCTTTTTCATTTTCAAAGACTGTCTTTGACCGACGTGACTTCTGCATTTATTTTCGAGACTTCATTTTTCAGAGTTGCTATTTCTTCTGAAATTCTTCTATCTAATTGTCTGAAGCATTCACTCATATCTGAGAAATCGTCGCATTTATACGTCGACTCACTTCTAGTTTTTAGGCTAAACGTACTCAGTACGCATAGCCTATTGCGATGGCCTTTCAGACAAAATTTACCGATCCTGGCCTTCTCATTGGCTGAAATATCGAGTTAGAGCGGCAATTTTCTGCTTAAATAATGCCGCGATCTTTCAAATCGCTATTTTAAAAGCATCCAAAATTAGTTTATTTTTTTAATAACATTACGATTACTATATATTGAAAAAAGATGCACAGTGTGGTTGAACTATTGATAAATTTTGAACAATATATTTTACGGAATTTGCTCACGGACTGATCATGATGTTGACTTTGTTATAACTTATATTTTTTGTCTTTGATGAAGGTTGATTGTGCTGATTTCTCAAGGTTTGTTATTGTGTATCAAAGTTCCTTGAAATGAAAATATTCCTTCAAACAAAGCGCTTATTTTAAAAAAAATCAAAATATTCATATTTATAATTATCAATTAACTAGAACGGAATATTTCCATAACATATTTATTAATTTAGCGTGTCATGGTGACATTATCTAATGCATTCGAGATCAGAAATAGTAGTAGCTATAGTAAAAATATTGTGAATTTTGTATATATATGGAAGTGTTGTTTAATCTCATAGAATTATGTCTTTATAGATATAATTACTGGAAGAAAAGTCTAACCATGATATTTCAAGAAAGATAGGCATGTAAATACATTTAATGTAATTACTTACACTTTAATCTATCTGAAATGCCGTGTACACCTTATCTACTTTCCTCAACTGCAAATATAATTATAATAAATAAGGACTATTACTTTGCAATACATTCACAATAAAGAAGTAGGTATAAAGTCTTTTCGATTTGTCTAAATCCTCATATTGATAGGATAGTAATTGCAACATCTTGGGTATTTCAAAGGTTTTATTTAGTCAACTTCATCATTTAGCTTGTTGGCGATAAATATATGGTTGTGTGTATTTTGTTATTTTTTTTACCTATTTTGATTTGTTCACGTTATTGTCGTCAAATTTGAAATAAGAGTTAAAGAAGATATCAAATCGCTTAAAATTAAGAAAAATAGCCTCTGGTTCTCTTATTTTAGTAATTTTTGCATTCCAAAGTGTAGGAGTATGGGGAAAGTAATATAGCTTTGCGGTTATTTGTGAACATTTTTTTAATACGTTTAGCCTCTCAGTACTTTAAGTACTTTGATTGTTGCTTTGGGTGGCATGATAGTAGCTGCACGTGCAATGACACGTATACAGGTAAAAATACAGGTCGTTAGACACAAACGTACAAACCAGTTCAAAAACACCGACGAAGCCACTTTACAGTACCTCAAAAGTCTTCTACTCACAATTCTGTTTCGCAACTGTCTATTCAAAGTTCAAAAAGCATCACTTCGTGGAAAAATTAACAAATTTACGGAGACACCTGTAGGTACGTCCACTCGCTTACACCGTCAAACCCGAAGTCTATTCCAGGAATATTACTAGTGGACGACTCCGAAAAGGCTTTACATTCAGTTTCTTGGGATTTTATTGATAATATTCTTCGTTACTTTAATTTTGGATTGGATATTAGGAAGTGGGTAAACTATTACTAATGTTTTTTTCTGTGGTTAATTAGGTGGGTAACATTTTTAGACTAATTAAATTAATATCCATCGTGGTTGTCGTTTTTATATTATGTGTTGAAGTTCTAGCTGCAAGAATTAGAGACAATGAACATATCAAAAGTATACAAATTGATAATGTTTCTATTTTAAATGTGCAATATGCTGATGATACAGGTCTGATTCTGAATGGAACGGAAAAATCGCTCAGGGAATCTATTACTGAACTGAATACTTTTGCTAATAAATCAGGGTTAAATATTAACACCAGTAAGTCACAGGTTATTTGGATAGGAAGTAAGAAATATAGCGAGGAAACGTTTCTTTCAGAGCTAAATCTACTTTGGGGTAAGAATAAGTTTACTTTTTTAGGAATTGATTTTTCTGTTAACCTCAATGAAATTCCTGGAATGAATTAAGGCTGACATCCTTAATAAACAGTTCTTGTCTGTATTCACACCATCAAAACATATCTCGGATACTCAGCCTGACCAGACTACAACCACAATCTTCCTCATGTTCCACCTATTGACGATATAACTTTATCTCTGCTAGTGGTGTCAACAATCTCTTCCTTAAACTTACAAGGTCACTGGTCCAGAGTGTACTAAACCAAAGTACTTCTGAAACACATAATTGCAAGCAGGAAATTGTCTCGCGCAAACAGTCACAATCCACTTTATCCCTGTCAACATGGCATTAGGAAATTTCGAACTTGTAAATCTCAATTCTTTTTTTGTTTTAATTTTTTTTAATTTTAATTTCAAAAGTATTAAACAAAGTCAGCCAAAGGCCACTCTCTCATAAACTCAAACAATATAGGATAGTGAGTAATACAATCCACTGGAACGTTCTACAAAATATGATTAAGACTGTAGCCTCCTCGAATGTCATAGTTACTTCCCTTCGTTCCCTCTGTCAGAACAATCTGTGTGGAAATGGTTTTTGATTTCAGCAAAGTTATTGAGGTATTATTCAGTCGGACGGGGTAAAGCCTACCTAGACATTTTCTACATGTATTTCTGAATTCGTCAGGTCATTAACTTGGTCAATACTTGGCCACTCTCGTTTATGAAACACTCATCGGAAACATAAAACATTTCTTTTAAAGCAAAGGTGTGTGCATTGAGATATCCTGAAGCCAAGTTTTGAAAGAAATATACAATGTGGTCAATATGTCCATCTTTATCTAAGTGAAGGATATAGTAAAAGATAAAAATCTAACCCCGTGTAAAACACAATTGTATAATGTCAAGGAGCTCATTGTAATATTATACACAACCTTTGCACGTCATAACACACCAGCATAACGGTATTCTGTACTCTCTTAACAAAGTGGGGTACAGCTACATGTAATTTACATGGTATGAAACATATTCCAGTATTTTAATTGATATATTTAGGCTGAAAGTCTACCATTGTATATATATTAACATAGAAGTGTCATGTATTCGATTCCTTCATATGTCATTAAGATTGCATATCATTAACTTATAAGTAAAAAAATATAGATATGTACTTAAAAGAGATTATCCTGATTGCAAATGATAGCATGTGCAAGTGTATTATAAATTTGGTAAACAATGCAAAGCTAAAAAGATAACTGGAACTAAAAACAAGCAATAACTGATGAGTAAAATAACATTTTCTTGTGTTACTAGGGTGATAATATATCTACAGTTAAGTTAGCTAGTCAATTTATAATCAAGATCACGCTTTACTATCGGTATCACATTGTAATTACGTCATTATTCTTTGTGCTACCATGATAATAAGAAAATGACCTCTGCCAATCACTTCCTTTCCAGTGGTCATCTCCTCACGGATTGGCGTTATTGACGTGATCACGTCTTAGGTTCACTACGGTATCCACAAATTGTTTCTACGATCAACCTTGAAATCAGCTTCTCTGGACGTGGATCCAGTCGTCAAAGGACAATTTACTCGAATTCAGCTTATATATACAACATGGTGTGTTACAACCCATTTTGAAAACATAACGTTCTTTGTAAAAAAAAAATTCAAATCGCGTTTATTTTGGGACAAGTTCCACGAACTTTGAAAATAATTTCCAAATCAAAGCATTTGATAAAGTTTTTGATTCGAATTTTTTTTTTTTTTTTCAAAATGCATATTTTTTCAATGTTTGTAACAATGGTGTTTATTGTATATCTTACATGATAATGCGTGATATAAATGGCGTATCATATGTATACTACACGTTATTCATAAAGGAATTCTTGATTTGTTGAAAGCTGTTATACACACATAGCCTAATTACAAACAACTACAGGACATTTCTTATACAATAATATATAGATAGGATATTAGACTAAAATGTGTCACTGTCTTGACAGCAGTTGCAGGAAAGCTCAGTCCCTCTTCTCAAACTTGATCCACAGCCCTTCCTCAGTTGGGGTGTTTCCCATTTTACTGATCTTTGGTGGGCACTGTGATAAAAATCAAAATTACAAACATTTCGAAATTTGCATACCAAACCTAACTTCATACTTATGTAGGACCCATCAACTGATACACTAGAAGACAAAAGCATGACATTTTGGACAAATAGCATTGATTTTCCTGCTTGAAACAAAGTACATATATGTTTGTTAATCAAGAAAAACCTTACATAGTTCTGTCTGAATACCTCTAACCCATCCCCCTCCCCGACTTCATGGCTTAAATAATGTAAATTCGTGAAGTAAACCGTTATGAACATTTATCATTGGTTATAGCCACTGTAAAAGTTGACTTATATGTATAAAAATGGAAAAGGTTTTAAATCAAATAAACGGACACTGCTTCTGCAGGTGTTACTTATTTCAATAACTACTAAACAGAGCGAAAACTGGCAGATACATATACATGTATACGAGAAAGTTTAAACAATAAAGTACAGTTCACACGATGAAATGTAAGTTATCTTATTATTGGAGTTCGTGATCAGTATGTACACACTGACGATTTTGTAAATGTACGCTCATCGTTGACGTGACGTAGTAGCGTTACCAATATATGAAGACAAATAAATAATACAACGAGTTGATTTCAGTTTCACTTACATCAGTTCTAGCAGAGCGGACTGGCCTGAAAGACTGCAGGACTGAAACAATGCACATTTTTTGTTCCATCACTGCAAGCCGCATACCAATACAGTTACGGGGTCCTGCGCCAAATGGGAGATATGTGTAAGGGTCCCTGTCAGCTTTGGCCTCCTCGGTAAACCTAGTAATAAGAAAGAGTGCCCAGCATGTTTAAATGAGAACACTTTCTGATCACTTAACCTTTAAAGTGTAAGACGTACATCCGATAGCCAATAACAAATTCAATGCCTTGTCATAAAGAAATATTTCTCTTGTACATCCTGTCAATATGTATCAATATTTTTATTATGTTTGTTCACAAACTTATAAGCATCAATATATCTGTTGTTACTAGTAATCTAAAGGAATTATTCAATATTTTAAGTTTCATTATCATTCCCAATAAACCAATCATAATCTCAGGGTATTATATATGGAAGTACAATACACATTGTAACAACTAAAGCTCATAAACAACTTTTATATAATACCAATTTATAACATTTGTCTCAAGTTCTCTAAGTATTGGAAATGAACTTAGAATGAATTTGAAATACAAAAAACATGAGACTCTGAATGCAAATGACATTTTTGTCTTCATATCACTTGAAACGAAAACTATGAAGCAATGAAAATGGAGCAAAGGATTCTTATTTGTAATTGAAATTTTACAAAATAAAATGATAAAAATGGAATTACGATAAGTCGGTTTTGAAAAAAAGTAAAAGGAATAATTAGTATTTTGAATACAATTTGAAAGTATTGTATTAGAAAAGTTTATAACATTAACATTTTGCAAAATGTATTTTAGATTAAATATTGCTTTAAACGAATGTGCGTTTTGAATTTATGAGAAGTTAGAAGATTTTTCTAGAAAACAGCATCTATAAACTCAAAACAAAAGCAACAGCCCCCTCCCCCTTTCAGAACTACTGATCGGAGACATGGACTTGTATAATCTATATTAGGTAAAGATCAATAGTTGGGGTAACGGTAACACTAATGGTACTTTAGAGGTCAATAATCATACCGTTCTGGGTCAAATTTCTCCGGGTCAGGCCAGTATTCCGAGTCCATATGAATAGCTCCTACTGGTATATTTATAATCATGCCTTTAGGGACCTTCACGTTGCCAATGGTAACATCTCGACTTGCTATCCGGTCAATTCTAAAAGCAACAGTAAGCATTATTATAACGACGATCAACAAAAGCAAGGGATATGGATGTTTGAAACCTTAGATTATGTCTCAATTCTCTTTATTAAGTTTGCTGTTATAAAATAATAAAATTAAATAAATAAGACAAATACGCCAAATTACTACGTATGTCGTACAGATATCCGTCATATCTATATTGACGGAAGCACAAGCGTGCATAATTTACAAAATTACAACTAAATATAGTTATCACATCATAACATGGAATACCTTTTGCAGTCCACGTTACATAGTTACCTTGAACAAGTTAAATGTTTTGTTAGTTAGTGCAAGTAGCTGCTAACTTTCTGAAAGTGTATTTCAGTATCGAAAAGAGACTTCCTTCATTTCAAAATACCCCTTGATACATTATACTAACATCTTATCCAGTATGAACATTTGTCATTAAGAATCGTTGCAATGCAGTTTTATACTAAAACCTTTTTTTCACATTTATCGTTTGAAAGTTTTACTACAAGCCAATCACAATTTGGAAGGTTACCTTTCTTGCACACTGAATTGAACTTAGGTTATTGTTTGAGGATTACTGGCATGATCCTTTAATTTTCCTTCCCTATTTACTATATTTATTGTAATGCAAATTTCCCCCCAAACTACTAGTATACATGTATGTATTTTCACTTTAAAGCTTGATCATTTCTTTCAGCTTAAAGATGCAGTGCAAAGAAAATAGATTTCACTTGAAAGTTTGGCGGGTTCGCATGGAGTTCGCCTTGATGAGAAATGATACAATGATGCTTTACATTATGAAGGTTTAAATTGTAGATGCATTTCTAATATTTTACAATAATCACTACATGCATTACTTAATGCCACGCCATGGATAGATCGATATATATAATAAACTGATGTAAGAGTACAAGCATAATTGCACAATAAGCTAGTTTTATTGATAAATGCGAGTTTATCTAAAACCTGTAGTAGCTAGGACTATCAGAATTTCTGGAGGAAAAAAGTAATCCCGAAACCAATTTCAGATATGACGAGCTCATAAGGCAGCTAGTACCGTTGAAACTCCTTGTCTTGAAATTGTTGAAGTCGAAATTTCGATTGAGTCTATGTAATGTCCAAGTCTAGCATAAGCAGAGTACCATGTTTACGGGTATTACTCGTATACTTTTCGAATTACTTCGGCAGCATAAAATATGTAAGAAATACAAAAATATATACTTTTCATCGATAGTATTAATTATTAGTCTACTTTTTATTTTCCCCCTTTTTGTAAAAGTGCGAAATGTGCGAAAGTAATTACTGCGGTACAAGTTTCACTATGAATGAGTACGCGTTGTCCTATCTCACCATTCTATAAATTACGTATTTGCCTTGACTTTGGTGCAAGACGAACGATAACAGCTTTCCTTCGAATAATGCACTGTCATATTTAGACATGGAAAATGATTATTGCCAATAATGGCATCAGCAGCTGCAGTTTACGTGTAAACATTGTAATCAAGTATATGGTGGTATCCATACCTGGATCCAGGGGGAAATATTCTCAGGGTCTCGTCAATAACCATGTCCATGTATGTTAACTTTTTGATATTATCAAAGTCGGGGGATTCCTGAAACAAATAAACAAAAACCGAAAGCATTTTTATTGATACATAAATCAGTCCAAACCTAACTGCACTACCAAAGCAATGGACACAAGATTTAGTATACAGCATTCAGTGGTGTATAATCAATTAAATATATAAACTGCATTACCTTTCCCAGATTATCGTCGATTTCCTGTATAACCTTGTCACAGATGTCTTCATGTACGGCCAAGTGATAAAAGACGAAAGTCAAGGTAAGAGCTGTGGTTTCATATCCCGCAAGGAAAAACAGAAGTGCTTGAGACATAATCTCCTTGTCAGAAAGAGCTGAAATAACACACATAAACTAGGCTGTACATCATAAAACGAATACACATATACATAATATGTTTTATTCATCGTAGCATAGAAAAGATGTCGCCAAATCATAATTCCTTCCCAATCAAAAATGGTAAGAAAGTAAGATAAGCCAGATATGTAACATGTCATGGTAGGATTACCACTGTATTACGCTAAGCTGATGATCATGGCAGTATGCAGTGACCCTACATAGGGAACAATCAGCCAACTGAAAAACAGATTTTTGAAAAGACCTCTTTGTATGGAGGACTGAGCACAGAAAAAAGTTGGCCGCCACTGATTGGCCAGTAAGTGCCAAAACAGATATATATCCAGAGTAATATTTTTTCTATGAAGTATGATGGCATGGTTGACCGCTTCTATTAAAACACTACTGACCATTTATATATAACCACTGGTATTACAAAATGTTTTGTCTATTCATGAATGAACACTTGCATTGCTAGATTACTGACCATTTCGTCCAGATGACCATTTACCGGTAGCCATGTTCTCAGTTTTAGGTGACTCTTCATTAGCAGCCTGTGCATTTGCCATGATTTCTAAAAAGTCTGTATGGTTCTGCAAAATATAATATGTCAGTTGAAATAATGCTTTCAATTGTTAGTTACATACGCAACGCTGGGTTTCTATGCAAACGCCGGGATATTTCATCTCCACACAACTTTCATATAGCGTCAGTTATTTTCCTTGTAAACTACGTGTATCATACAATACAGATATATACGAATAACACAGCTATAGTATTCGAATTATTTCTCCTATTCACATACCCCTGGATTTTGTCGCCTTTCTTTCAATGCCGCACCAGTTACAGACACAAAGAAATCTGTTGATTTTTTTGTCAAATTGATTCCGATGAACTGGAGGAAGCGTGGAAGCCAAGTTAGGAAGGGAAAAAACACTAAAAATAACAAAACATAACATAGATACTTTCTTCGAAACAAGACAATAAAAAATAAGGTAAATGAAATAAAATGGAAAAATAGATTGTATCATACCATATGTTTGTCGTTCTTGGACTCCTCAGTGATGTTAATGACCTACATGTAATTAGAAATATCTGGTCGAAATAACTGTCAGAAAGCTGAAGCTGAAGACCGTACATTCTCCAAATTTTGATTTATTTTAAGGAACGCTTTTAAACTATGTATTTTCGATGTGCATGTGTATGTGCGGCCCTGTGCCACTATTCAATCAAATTAAGACATGATATGAATGTTATAGCAAAGCCAGGGGACTACAACTCCACTAGCAGTGTCTGTCATACCCAATATCAAAGATCGCACAAAAAGCACACACGTATATCGAAGCACAAGTAACTGTCACTTATCATTTGAGTTTCTTTGTGAAAACATATGCTAATGTTTTGAAAGCGATAAGAGTTATTTCTCAAGTTCATTAATACTCGTCGTTATGTATTGGGACTTTCATCAACGCATTATTAAAACCAGTTACAGGCATGTAAAAATGTATTTTCTTATTGTTAACATATTATAACACACAAATATTGAAATTTCACTTATTTAAGTACATTGAATACTCAGAAGGATACTCCAAACAAAAATGAAACTTCATAAAATTCATAAAAATAAACGGTATTATTTTGTTTCGTAAAACAACACAAAGTATGCCTTTAAGTTCTAATTCAAATTGCAAAAATTCTTTAACTTACTGTATATTGCCAACAACACTCCTATGATTGTAGAATCTGAGTAGGTTTTGGCATGCTTTATAAATGGGTCGTTTGGATCTTTTTGAGAATTTATTTCCAAACCAAATGATGTTCTGGCAATGACATCCAGCGTAAAGGCACCAAAGGTTCTACAAAAGAACTGCTAAGTATTACACTCTACTTATGTCACTGCTACCTCAAGGTCTATGACGATACGATATGCAAATGCAATCAAATATACCATAAACATGCATGGTAAGATCAGATTAGTAAACTCTAAAAAATATATATTGATATACGATATACTATAAAGTTGTATGTTTTGATTAGATTTTTACATTTTGCACATGTCCTTTTTTTCATTTCAATATTAATTTGGATTGTGTTCACAGGAGTATAGATGCAGCCTGGACTACATGGCAAAAACCTGACGTCATTTGGCGCCATTCTGACTGCTATTATGAACGTAAACACTTTCCATGTCGTCTCAGATAACACGCGTTGTAGGTTTACGTTAATCATTGAGCTGATTATAATTTTCAGAAAGCTTATCCAGTATGAAGACAATTTCAATTTAGAAAAAAAGGCATGATAATGTTTTAAATAATATCCGGAATACAAATCGAGCCTAATTTTGTTTATCTGTCACCTATAATGCAATCATATTGACAATAAAAACAATCTTACTGACGTTCAATGGTGAAATGTCCATCAAGATCAGTGCCAAAATGTAAAAAATAAAGTATTAGTGCCTACAAATAAAGATTTGTAGGGATTTAATTTTTCAAAATCTGCTTTTCTCCTACAGAGTTATGAATTGATATCAGCGTTAAGGTCACATCAAGGTCATACAAAAATCAAGATCAATGTTGAATGAGATTTATATTACATTACGTCTACATGAGCGCGATATCAAAGTTGAAAATACTGTTAAAAGGAAGTCAATTACACAATATCCGTAAAGATTATCCTGTACTATAGATATATATTCATAACTAGATAAATTAAAAAAAACTTACTTATTTAAAAGGACATTGTGTTACTTAATAATTACTAAAGTCTTAACTCCCAGTGTATGTCATTACGTACTAAGCTAGAAGAAAGTTCAGACTTAATACCGATTTACTTCACCAGACACAACACTTAATATTTCCCTCGTGGTTAGAATTCGCGCAATAATCAAAGAAATCATTTTAATTTCATTTGATTAAATGACGTCATCCTTTTAGAAATGGATAAAAATAGAAATTTATTACTATCAGGTTACAAGACATCGTAAAATAAAATCAAGAAATCGGTCGTTTTGGCAACCAATTTAATTCATCACCACAATGAGGTAACTTACTCTTTCAAGTTAGTGTCTTCATTATTATTTGCCTTCGTTTCTAAATTTTCCAACAATATGTCTTGTGCTTGCCTTATAAGTGGTTTCATCTGAAACATTAGACAAAGGCAATGGATATAAATACGATACATGTAGTGTCAAATAAGAATAAATAAACAAAGTGTCATACAATACAGCAAATCAATTGAATACTTTGAAATAGGTCATGTGTCAACTTGAGAAACGTGCTATTTAGGACAACATTTCTAGGTCTGTGTTACGAATTAGAAAACACAAAGGGAAAAGGAATGCATCAAATATCCATCGACATAGTCATACCTCTCTTAGTTTTTTTCCGCTGAAGGTTGGTGTGATAATGTTTCTCACAAATCTCCAATGGTCATCTTTGATGGACAAAAGAGATTCTTGTATCATCGGGTCATCCAACTGATTAAAATCCTGAGATAACAATATCATGAAAAATGTTAATATACCGTTTACTTGTCTTATAAAGTATCAATTCACGTCTTCATCTGAACATATTACTTTATTATATAAAATGACTAATCAAATTATGTAGCAGTCAGTACTGTGTGCCATGTTTGGTTACGATTCTATCAAGTTGATTTTTATAAATTCATTAACTCCATTAATGATGAGTTTGATACCTATTATAAACAATTCGGGAAGCAACAGAATTAAAAAAGACACCTCTTTCTTGGTATTTACATACAATAGATCAGCACTATCACCTTTTCGAATCCTAGTCGGTCGTTCTACTGCACCAGTGATGGAAACTCGTAAAAGGTTCTTAATTATCTGAAAGCAAAATGACGGTACAAACCCTCCTATTGACAAAACTGTTGAAATCCTTGACAAAAATGTCTTTTAGTAATTTCGGGTCAGCAACAAACAGGGTAGGAAACTTCCCTTCAAAAGTCCTAGTGAAGGAAGAAAAGGCAAGCATTACCAATCGTAACATGGAATGTTAAGAGAGATAACATTTTAATCAAAGTTTTAAACTACTATATGCTATGTGGAAATAACTATTTAATATCCATGTAAAATCTATTTTTCATATCGTTCTGTATTGTAAATGAATCTTTAAATTTACAGTTAAAAGAAATTGCATACAGCTTTTTCACTTACCCAAACATTTTGCCATACTTCCTGTAAAGGTCAATCTCGCCCTTAACTATGCCCTGTAATAAAGTCACTGAATATTAATACGTAAAGCTGAAGATTGTAATGTTGATTAATTTTACTGCTGAATCAGGATAACATAATGTCATACTGACTGATTTTATGCACACGAAACGAGTTAAGGTAATGTACTACTTTGAACATTAGATAGCCGCAAACACTTACTCATGATCGGAGACAAACGATGTCCAGGTTTAAACAAAAATGAAAACTACTGATTTTTTTTCATTTATTGAATTATAAAACAGGGTCATCCGTGTCTTAAGTTGGTAAATAAATACAAACATCTTTGAAGAACAGCCCCAAATTTCCCATGACAAGGGTTGGTTTTGGACCATCAACGCCCATCTTTTTGAAGATATTGTAATCCCAGGACATGTACCTATAAATAAAGTTATCGTATCAATGATGATTTACTTTACAAGTGACATTAATACTCGTGCAATAGCTACGACACAATTAATATTGGGCAACAAATACATACCCAGTACATTTGTAAATCAGGATATTGATAGTGTACGATATAATCTCATATATACGTATACATTAAAACATTTTTCATGCAAATCTTAATTACAAACAATTTCAAACTGATACCTACCTTTCCCCATACACTAAATCCAACATAAAGAACCTATCCATATGTCCCAACTACGTAGATCTTAATATATACACAACATTGAGGGTCCACCCACCTCTCCAAACACCCTACATATATAATACATACATAACGTAGATGGTCTACGAACCTCTCAAAACACCCTACATATATAATACATACGTAACGTAGATGGTCTATCCACCTCTCCAAACACCCTACATATATAATACTTACATAACGCAGAGGGTCCACGCACCTCTCCAAACACCCTACATAAATAATACATATGTAACGTAGATGACCTATCTACCTCTCCAAACACCCTAGATATATAATACTTACATACTTAGAGGGTCTATCTACCTCTCCAAACACCATACATATATAATACATACGTAACGTAAAGGGTCTATCCACCTCTCCAAACACCCTACATATATAATACATACATAACGTAAAGGGTCTATCTACCTCTCCAAACACCCTAGTTATATAACACTTACATAGTGTAGAGGGTCTATCTACCTCTCCAAACACCCTACATATATAATACATACATAACGTAGAAGGTCTACCCACCTCTCCAAACACCCTACATATATAATTCATACATAACGTAGAGGGTCCACCCACCTCTCCAAACACCCTACATATATAATACATACATAACGTTGAGGGTCTACCTTCCGCTCCAAACACCCTACATATATAATACATACATAATGTAGAGGGTCTACCCGACTCTCCAAACACCCTAGTTATATAATACTTACATAATTAGAGGGTATATCTACCTCTCCAAACACCATACATATATAATACTTAGATAACGTAAAGGGTCTTTCCACCTCACCAAACACCCTACATATATAATACATACATACATAACGTACTGGGTCTATCTACCTCTCCAAACACCATACATATATAATACATACATAAAGTTGAGGGTCCACCCACCTCTCCAAACACCATACATATATAATACATACATAAAGTTGAGGGTCTATCTACCTTTCCAAACATCCTAGTTATATAACATTTACATAACGTAGACGGTCTATCTGTATCTAACGACTTTCTATTGTTATTTGGTACTTACACAACGTATGCTATTATCGTAGCAACAAGTAGAATGAGTAGTTGGCCCCATATGGGGATATCCACCAGTCCTAACACCAACATTTTCTGATCTGATGATCTTCCCCCTGTAGTAACAAATCATTCCAACATTATTACGACTTGAGGTGTTTACCTCTATATACACCATACACTTTCCTATTGGTACGTATCTGTATGGTTATGTTTGTGGTGTAGATTGTGTATGTGATGGTGGAGATTATGTCCTGGTTTATTATCTATCGCAGATGTATATTTTCTTCAAAGTTAACATTTTGAGGACTATAATGTTACATACATTGGATATGATATATATCATATTACTATATAAATGCAAGTGTCTGTAGGGGAAATCCGGGTGTGTAAGAGAAACAAATGTTTGAAAACAGGGAAAGGGGGAATGATCCTAATGCGAAAGTGAAAACAGCAAATTAATAACTTGATTTTGCAAAAGTGTATCATAAATTCGCATATATATCATTCTTCTCTCACACCAGCTCGTATGTGTTTTCTTTTTCCTGTGTTTCTGGTAAGGCAAGTGGACCATGGGCCTAAATATATAAGGGTCATAACTCAGCAAATTATGATTGAATTAGTCAAATTTCGAACTTTTCCAAGACCCTTTTGATAATAATGCTTACCAAGTTTCGTCAACGGCTGTCTTATTTACTCAAGTATTTGTGTTCACAAAGTCAGTGGTATTTAAACTGCAAAACTTTACAAAGTACGTTATAATCCATCTATTGTCGAACTCGTTCGAGGTCTTATTGGTATAAGGCGGCGTAGCATGTTTCATTAAATTGTTTTATATCAAGTTATTGTGTTCACAAGGAAAAATTAAGCAAGACGCAACGACGCACGTCACACGACGACGGATGCCACACGACGACGCATGTCACATGACGACGGATGTCACACCACGACGCATGTCATTCGAAGACGTCACGACGACGCATGTCACATGACGACGGACGTCACACGACGACGCATGTCATACGAAGACGTCACGACGACGCATGTCACACGACGACGCATGTCACACGACGACGGATGTCACACGACGACGCATGTCACACGACGACGGATGTCACACCACGACGCATGTCACACCACGACGCATGTCATACGAAGACGTCACGACGACGCATGTCACATGACGACGGACGTCACACGAAGACGCATGTCATACGAAGACGTCACGACGACGCATGTCACACGACGACGGATGTCACACGACGACAGATGTCACACCACGACGCATGTCACACGACGACGCATGTCATACGAAGACGACACGACGACGCATGTCACATGACGACGGATGTCACACGACGACGCATGTCATACGAAGACGTCACGACGACGCATGTCACACGACGACGACACGACGACGCATGTCACACGACGACGACACGACGACGCATGTCACACGCGACCGACTTACATGGTCTATTGTATGCAGTGTGTCCTTTTTTGTACACACTTACGTTTACATGTGTTTGAGAGTAAAGTGGGCCAAAGTAGACCTTTATCAAACTAGTTTATAAACATTGTGTATTGCTTGTGATGAAAATATGAATACCGACCAACTGTACAGACATGGAGGTGGTACTTGGGCTTTAAGTACTGTCTAGTATATTATTTACGACAGTTTGTGTAAGCGGATAGAAATTGTCGTCAATCGATGATCCACAATGGACGTTCTGCACAGGTAAAGCTTGCTAATCATGTACAAGGACCTATTACACCTAGTAATCGCCATACAACCAATTAGGATTTATATAAACAGTACTTACTTAAATTCGAGACGGACAAAAATCGTTAAGGTACATCAAAATCTTTGATGAAAGACACTGTTTATCTCGCCATCGTTCGGAACAAAAACAGGCATGGTGTGTCTGTTGTTATACTACATTAGTGTCTGTTTATTCAGGCGGACAAACCATTGTTAGCTTTTCAGAAATAGACAAATAGCACGAACGATGGACCTCGAAAATCTTAGTCATAGCTCATCAGAAAACACAGTAATATTTAATAAGGTCCGTCCTATTTCAATACGATACCACAGCTGTATCAGGTATTATCACTTTACTGACAAAGGATAGTAACTATATTACATATATTTTATATATATATATATATATATAATCCCTGTATTTGCGAATGTTCGATTTTTACTTGGTAATGGAGATCTAGGACAGCTGCAACATTCGGAAGCTTTAGACAACATTACATTTGTCAAATATATTCTATACATATAACACATACTTACTCGTTGTCGCCTGCTAACCTTAACAGCAGTAACCCGTCCACTGACAAGTGAAAGTCTGTCTACCTGGAGCTATATATCAGGTATGGCAAGTTTCGACCAGTAGAATAACACTCGTTCACATGGAGAGTGTGTGTGGTGGCATGTCGACCTAAATATTGATCTCGGTGTATAGCGCCCTGCTACATGTATACACAAAAGCTCTTGTTACTGTTTTGAGTACACGTATTTGATATATTGTATCCTGTCAAACACGTTTTAAATCTGCACGTGGGAGTTCTGATCACTGACCGTGGCATTAGTTTCTGATTTTTTAAATTTCTGTATTAAACCACAGTACAGTAAGTGAGTAAGTATGATCAAGTGCGATATTAGGTGCTATAAGAATTTGGCATAAAAGTGACATAATACATATATATGCTAAACGAAAAAAGAAAGGTAACACTACTTTATTCTGTGATTAATTAATTAACCCCTTCATAAATCCTTACCAATCATGCACGAATAAAGTAATTGATCAATTCTGATAAAACTGCAGTCATGGTTCATTATAAAACTTTGCGTTCAGTTATTTTATTCGACTGTAAAGGACGTTGGGGTCAATTTCAAAGGTAACACCATTAGTAACGGGTATGGCCACCGTTTGCGAAGTAAACAACATTGCAGCGTCGTCGCATGGAACTCGTAAACCGGCGGATAATTCGAGGATAGATGTTGTTCCATTCAGCGATCAAGGCTTGGGCCAGCTCCTGCAAGTTTGACGGCTGATTTTGACCTTCTCTCACGCGTCGCCCAAGAACGTCCCAGACATGCTCAATCGGTGACAAATCAGGTGATTTAGATGGCCAATCTAACACCTGTACGTTATTCTGCTGCAAGAAAGTTCTGCTGACGCGACTGGTGTGCGCTGGTGCGTTATCCTGTTGAAAAATGGCGCCAACGCCATGGCGTCTTAAGAATGGCGGAACCATTGGTCTTAAAATTTCGTCCCGATATCGAATGCCGGTTAAATTGCCATTTAACACAACAAGCCTGATACGAGTCCCCCCACAAATACCACCCCAAACCATTACACTTCCGCCGCTAGAGCGGTCCCGTTCTGCGACGTAGCAGTTCGCAAAACGCTCCCCTCGTCGCCTCCACACTCTGCGCCTTCCGTCACCGCGTTGCAGACAAAACCTGGACTCATCTTAACACAGAACATTGTTCTATTGTCGTAAGGCCCAACGACGGTGAACGCGGGTCCACTTACGCCGATTATTACGGTGACGTCGCAACAAATTGTGTCCAGTGTAGGGACGCCGCGCTTTCAATTGGTAGACCCTCAACCTGTTGCGGACTGTTCGGGGAGACACACGACGCCCAAACAATGTCCTTGTAGTCTCTACTGCGGTTACGAATCGATTGCGCAAGTGTATCAATCGTATACGACGGTCACCCCTGGCGGTCGTTTTACGGGGTCGGCCGCTTCGCGGACGATCGGATGTTGACCCAGTTTGGTTTAAACGACTTACCAACTGGCAAATTGTCTTAACACTGCAACCAAAATGCCATGCAACTCGACGGCGAGACTCCCCAGCCTGGATCATGCCTACAGCCCTTTCTCTCTGTGCTTGTGACAGCCGGGGCATAATGATAAAGTTGATAGATAGCAAGATTCGGTGATTTCTAAGTCCTAAGGATCTAAGGAACAGTTGTCAGTTTGAATGTTTATGAAATTCAAGCGAAGGTACGAGTTAGTCGCAGAAAACCTCGTGCAGCTCTTTCGCTGATACAGACTTTCACGCTTGAATGATTTTGGTAACCCCCTTGGATTTTGTAATGTAAAACATTACCATTTTCTAATATTGCACAAACGTCATTTTTTTTCACTCATTTACAGGTATTCGCCAAGGAAATATGTTAACCTTTCTTTTTTGTTGAGTATATATGGACTGTGGATCGGGAATTCGTGCAAACCCTCTGTGTACTGTAACATGAGTACCCACTTCTCAAACATCCCATTGTTCACTGTTTGTTAAAGGCACACATGGCGTTATTTACAGTCAGGTCAGGGTCGTGATTTATAAATGGCAAATAAAGGATCAGCTTAACACTGATTTCGAAATCCCTCAATCATTACTATATTTGGAACGTTAAGATATCCATTTAACTTTTAAAATAACAGAGCGCCATCTAGTTATTCCTGAATAAAAAGATAGACTTGAAAATTGGTAAAAGCCTTATTTCATCAAAAAGCATCTTCGACCGTCTCTGGGCAAGTCATGCACACAATGGGAGAACTTGGTCATTGTTGCAAAATTGGTCAGGAATTTTTAAAAAATCTTAGAAATAAGGTAACATATTCAGACTTTGGGGTTTGAGATTTATACAGTGATTTTCTCATCTATGATTCAATCTATTTCGCTTTTAATTATCATGTTTTTTATATATCAAATATGACGTGGACTTCGCTATAATGAATCAACACTGCATAATCACATATACAAGTTTAGCAAGAGAATACTTTATCTAAAGACTATTTGTGAATTTCTCTAATCGTTAAATGTATTGATGTACCAATTGTTTGGAGCATCTAGGTCGCGGGTTTGTTCTGGTGCATGTCTATACAAAAAGATGTAAGACTATCCAGGTGAACACTCACGGTAAGCGTAACTGTATAGGTGTTTTAGGAGTGCGTGTCGTATGCAAGTGTATGTAACAAACGTTTAATCTGTAAGTATCATTCCATGCTTTCACGATTAATTAATCGGAAAAAAAATTATACATGTGAACCAAATACAAACACAAGAAACGA